TTTCGACGACGTTACCTTTTCTTACTCTGGCGACCCCAAGGACGACTTGTACCGTAACATTGACCTTGGTTTCGACATGGACTCCCGTACCGCGCTCGTCGGACCCAACGGTGTTGGCAAGTCTACTCTGCTGCGCCTGATGACCGGCAAGCTCTCCCCCACCGCCGGTTCCGTCACCCGCCACACCCACTTGAAGCTTGGTCTGTACTCCCAGCACAGCGCTGAGCAGCTCGACTTGACCAAGTCCGCCCTGGACTTCGTCCGTGAGAAGTACGCAGAGAAGTCCCAGGACTACCAGTACTGGCGCCAGCAACTCGGCCGCTACGGTCTGACCGGTGAGGCCCAGACCTCCCTGATCGGCACCCTGTCCGACGGACAGAAGTCCCGTATCGTCTTCGCTCTGCTTGCCATCGAGTCCCCCAACATGCTGTTGCTCGACGAGCCTACCAACGGTCTGGATATTCCCACCATTGACTCCCTGGCCGAGGCCATCAACGCCTTCTCTGGTGGTGTTATCGTCGTCTCCCACGACTTCAGGTAAGAATCCACCCTCTGCTTGTGTATTTAGATGTTCTCGATACTAACTCTTCCATAGACTTCTTGACAAGATTGCCAAGCAGATTCTCGTGTGCGAGGACCGGACCATCAAGCCTTGGGGCGACTCCATCGGAGCGTACAAGAACTACCTTCGCAAGAAGATGGTTTCTACCGGCGCTGTCTAAAACAGTTTCGGTGGCGCGACATATTTGGTTTCGGATGCATCTCCCTCTCCAGCGTATGGTTTCTTTCTCCCCGGGAGGAAAATAGAACAACAAAGTGTTTGTTCATGACTTTTATGAAAAAAAAGTGCCGCCATGACCGTCACGACCAAGCCGGATGGGCTGCTGCGGAAATGAGGGAAACGGACAACCTATACCCCCCTCGTTCCCTCTCTCGAGACGGCGGAAACGGTGGGAAAAGAGATTGAAGCGGGCATGGGACGGCATCGGGGGAAGACATCATCAGCATCCATCAGGGCGGCTGCTGGCACGGCATGGGATAGATAGATATCTGCAGCTGCGAACTTTTTTTTTTTCTTGTTTTCCATCGTCTTTGTGTAGATGACGAGGACAATAGAGGCCATGAGCCATTGATTTGAGCAACTTAAGAAGCAATTGATCTTGAGACGATTGTGATGTGTTCCATACTGTGGTCGACAATGCAAGGCTATAGGAGAGAGATGAACTGGCGATTGTGGATGCCTTGAATCAAGTAGACTGCTATTTACGCGTCAAATCAATTTTCTGATTATTATTTTTCCCAGATTCTACGTCAGAGATACTATGACCGTGGCTGGATTACGGTGACACTAGAGGGAAAAAGGTCAAGACATGCCCCAGGGGTATGGCATACGAGGCTGCAAAAGCTCGCGAATCACAGAGTAGGAGTTGGAGAGCAAGATGAATGAAAGGCGAAGCTTGCACGTGATCCAAATCGCACGGGAGCTCTGACCCGGATACAACGGCTAGATCGGAGCTGGGTGCTTCTGGAGCAAGGGGCAGCCAATCATGTATCTGGGGATCTGGTGGGATGAGGTAAGCAAAGACGGGGTCGGCGTTGTTGGGTGGGAGTCTGGTATCTTACGTGATCAGGTTTCTGCTGTTCAAAGTCCTGAAGATATGCTAATCATATTTTCAATAGATGCTTGCTACCTTACCCAGATATTCAGAGAAAACTTGATAAGCGGAAGGAAAAATCAATAGGAGCTCGTAACGGTCACAGGTTTTCGTTTGCCGGAGATGCGGGAGAATCTCCATGCGTGATGGAATTGGGGTCGAGTTTGCTGATTAGGTACATAGCCGAGGGTGCGATGCGCTACCAATTTCTGTCAGGATGGATCATGGATGCCCATGTTCCAAGTCCCCTAATTACCTTTACCATGTTGTTGGCTTTTTTTGGTACTTCCAGGCACAAAGGCTACCTTGTTCCTGGCATTGCCGGTAGATGTCTCTTTCTTGATGACTTGTTAGAGATACCTGTGAAGGGGAACGTGATTGACATTTGAGTCAACATCGTGGTCGCGAGAATGAGATGGGAGAGAGACGGGGGACGGGGGAAAAGAAGGGCGAAAAGGGGAGGATGGTTCGACCCTGAATCCAAAGGCTGACGGGGGGAAAGTGGGAAAAAAAGGTTCAATTTGTTTTCGATTGGGGGCTGACGCTGCAGCAGGTTTCGGAGGGCGGGAACTTGAGAAGTCGCTGGGAAACCCACTTCGTGATCCATCATGAGGTACCGATGCCGTCCACGGTAGGGGGCGATTATCGCCGGTGCACACCACGCGATTCGGTCCAGAACATCTGGTATTATCTTAGGTGAGGTAGTCCTGTGCGTCATCTTCGTTGCGTAGAAGGGATGATGTACTGAGATAATCCCACAAGACGGATTTTTTTGTGCGAAATATCAATGTTATATCTGCTTCGTCACTGAACGGGATTTTTTTTTTTTTCGCAACCTGATTGCCGAGGTGATGGTGATTTCTGATCATGTGGGAGCAATTGAGGCCATTCCCAGAAGGGTTTTGTGTGAGCCGACGGTCATTTGGGGAGATGTATCAGCAGCAAGTACAAATGGGTGGCTTGCTACTCCCGTATATCCCAGGCTTCTTTGGAGGCTTTCCCTTTTGATGATTGCAGAGCTGACGAGATCCTTTGCGGTGCATCTCTTGCATTCTCGCCGGTTGCTGGTCGTGGTTTACAGTCTTCCAGCGGCTGGCGTCTGAAAACAACGGGAGCAACGAGTGTTGGGTGACTTGGTCAGGGCAGAGGGTGGTGGCCCAGAGCAGCCGAAGCGTGGGACGGGGAAGGCGGCTGAAATGCCTCACAGGTAGAGGATGTGTCGTGTTGTATTTTCCAACTAACATCAAAGTGAGGGATACATAGGGGAACAAGTCGTCTGGACTGAAGTGGGGGGGGGGGGGAGGGGGCTTGGGCGGCCGGGGGCAAGGAAGGCACGAACAGGAGGAAGCAACCCAAGAGGCTCAGAGGTGGCCCGGGATTGGCGGGAGCATCTGCGCTAGCCCCGAGTTAGCAGCCCGGTGGTGAGGTACCTGGACGGTGGAGCGCGCCTGGTGCAGGTGCACCTGCTCGCACCTGTCCTTTGCGACTCGCGAGTTTTTGACGGTAGGGAAGTGACGACTGACGAACCACCCAAAATTGATGAAATCGGGGGATCCTCACGGGAGAAGGAACTGACAGGTCGCGCCTTCCCTGGGATCTGGGTGAGGACGTGGAGGCAGGCACACGATGTACCACCAGGACGTTCCTTCCTTTGGCTTCCATTTCGTTGCAGTAGCTCTTTCCCATGTTGATACTACATGTTCATAGATATCTTATTTTTTTTGCTGTTGTTCATAATCGATGATTCTGTTCATTGCATACTGTCGAGAAAAGACATCCAGTACACATACACACACACCGCACACATTGCATCGCATCGCACATCCCCGACGATCTTGGACTACGACGGCCAACAACTGGAGACACGCCTGAAAAGTCTGGAAAGTCTGGAACTGGACGGGACGGACGGGGACGGGGTCTTCCACTCGACTGCATCGGCATCGCCCTCACCCACCCCCCATCCCATCCCATCCCATCCTTGGACCATTGGATCACCCACAGACTTGGCTCAAGTTGTTCACCCCTTCTCTCCAGTCTCGTCTTGATCGCTCACTCATCCATTCACTTCCAGGTTGCTCTCGCTCTTCTCCGAGTCCCAAGTGCATCAAAGTCCGCCCGCCCACACACCCGATTGGCAAGACGCACTCACAATTCCCTTGCTTCCTCTTCTTTCCATTCAACATTGACGGATACACCATCAATCCGGTATTCCTTACCTCTCCTAATCATCGTCAATCATCACCACAACACGGAGTACTATACCCACAAAGAGCTCTAAAGACATCGTCGCCACCAGCACACGACGCCTTCACCACCACACATACTCCGTACACACTCACAACCCACAACACACACACACGTACGAAGACCCCGGCAAGGTCATACCAGCATAGCAGCGCAGCCCATCACCGATCCAGCTCCAGCTCCAGCTCAGCTAGCTTCATTCCAAGACACACCCGGTGATACCGCCCAGCCAAGGGCCCAAGACAACAGCCAAAGCCAAAAGCCGCAAAGCAACACGGACTGTGGAGTTGGACATCCTCCCCAAGGCTCAAGGCTCAAGGCTCAAGCATCTCCAATACTCCACCCGCGCAGACTCAACCCTGCTTGCGCGCCCATCCATCGCATCGCAGTCTGCAAAGCCGAACCTGGGCCACCACCATAACCACCACTACCACATCCACCACCCGTCCTGCTGGTCTGGCCTCCTCTTCTCGTTTCTCTCTCTCGCTCTCTTCTCGTGTCAGAGGGACAGGTCATCCTCCGCCCCATCCTCATCTACGTTCCCCCAACCTTAGCTCCGACATTCGCACTCCATACCGCCAAAACTCTCGATCCGACACACAATTCCATCATCGCCACCCACTTCTCCCACCGTTCTTCAGGTTTCTCGGTCGACCGCTCATTTCAACCTTGCCGCGAGCACCGCGAATAGCATCACCGACGCCCGCCATCACCATTTCCCATCGAACCCCATACCACGGTACCACCAATTCTTGAACCACACACCCCTGCACCTCCCCACGACGCCAACTTCCGACTCCACGTCCTTTTTTCGCGATCCGCCTCACTTGCTTCACTCCTGTCCAAAACCCCCAACGCGTAACCCAATCACCTCCCCTCGATTGTCCACCACCCATTCTGCTCTGCACATGGGTCCGCGATCCTCGCTGTAGTCATCAATCCCCTCTCCCCCTTCCCTTTCCCCTTCTCTTCCCTCTCCTTTCTTTCCTCATCCAAACCCCCCTCCCCCACCCACTACTGCATCGTCCAGTTACGAGCGCCATCCGCGTACAAGTCGAGTAGGGTTCTGCGACAACGACGCCATCGCCGCATCCCGTCACGATGGACCACCCTAAAGACTTCCGCTCGACGGTCCTGCAGGCGCCCTCCCGTCACGATGATCGCGACGACGACCGTGATCGCGACCGCCGCCGCCATCGCGACATCATGAATCCCGCGCCCGGCAGCACGCGCCATTCGGGCTTCAACTTGCGATCGCCTACCCAGTCCGAGTACCATCACCCCCCGCACTCTTCCTACTCGTCGCCCAAAGCAGCCTCGTCGACGCCCCATGCGCTCCCGCATCACTCACCGCGATCCCATCAGTCCGGCCTGTCGCATCCGAATCCTTACTCCTCCTCGACGGCTGCCGGCGGTCCGCTTGCGCCCTCGTTGCCCGCGCTCGGCGGTGCCAGCAGCAGCTCGGGAGCTGGACATCATCAAGCTCCGCCGTTGTCGCCGTTGCACCCCCCGAGCGGATACTACCCGCCACCCGAGTCGCATCAGACGCGCGAGAAGCCTGCTACGAGCAGCTACTACGATCCGTTGACTGACACTACAAGAGAAAGGAGGGTGTCTGACGCAGGTTGGAACAATAATGCGGCCAATGGCTCGCCCAAGGTAAGAGATAATTCCGTAATCTTGTCATTCATGATTCAACTACCACAGTGGCATCGCATTGGTGTATATACGATGCGATGCTGCCTGGTGTATTCCCGTGTTTGCTACTGCTTCTTGTCCTGGCTCTGTACCATCCTTACCCATCGTCACCTCCCAAGAAGCTCCTCCATGCCATCATTCCAACCTTGGCTTCCCCTGCTGCTCTTCCTCGTGTACCGTAGCATCCAGCACCAGCAGAGACAGCAATAGGAGCAATCCAGGTGGTTTGTTTCTGTTTGGCCCTGCTCGATTGCTGTCTGTGCTCTAGATCTTTTTAGTGGCCACACTGGTTGGTGCTGGTGTTGGTGTTGGAGGTTGTGCTTACGCCGTCTTTGTACCCTTTGCTCCCTTTCCCCCATCCGGATTTTCGGAGACGATGGTGTGGAGAGGATGCAGCGGAGCACCTCAGGCGTAAGGATACCTCACACACAGAGAGGTCAGACGAGAGGAGCGAGATATGGGGGGGAAACAGGAGGGTGAGAGATTGCGAGAAGAGCAGCAACAGCAGCAGTGCCGCTGGATAAGAAACACCGCGGAATGCTTGGATCCCCTATTGTTCACGGCTTCAATGACACCGGCGTCCCCCAGTTTTTTCCCTGTAACTTTGGCACCTTTTTTTTTCTCCCCTTCCTCTCCTTCTCGTCATTTTCGTCCCTTGCCTTTCCTTCCCCGTCTCTCTTGTCGTCCGTCGCCTCGCTTCGTGCCCGTGTCGTGGCGCTACCTCATTCACGTTCCGTATCCATACACAGTACACCCGTCTGTCTATCTCGATCCATCAATTTCCCATCCCTTTCCCTCTTTTTTTCCTTTTTACTCTTCTGTTTTCCCTTGCACATTCACACGATTTTTGTTCCCTTTCCAACCCCGACACGCGTTAGAGGGAGCACCACCAAGCACAAGCATCGGCACCTGCACACACAGCACCAGCAGCCACTTTCTCGTCCATCTCCAACTTTACCCGAGGGACAGAAAAATCCCAACCAACCCAAACCTCAACCCAAATTTTAATTCCATCACGGCCACCTCCATTCCTTCGCCTTGGCTAATTTTTTCCTTTCTTCATCATCAAACAGACCACACGCGGCGATCCCTACGGCAACTACTCCCAACCTGAGCCGGCATCTCGAGACTCGCACGCGTATTATAAGAACGGCAGCGCAGGATACACGTCGCCATCAGCAGCCAACTTCCCCCCGAGGAGTCCGCGATCCCACTCACATTCGCACTCCAACTCCCATTCCCACTCTCATCAACCACCCACCGGTTCCATCAGCCCATCGATCAGGGCAACGCCGCATATGACGTCCCCCAGTCTGCGGCATGCTGCGTCGCCCAGCGTGCATGCATCTTCCAACGGTGGCGCCGTCGCGTCTCTGCCTCCTCTAGGCAAGGCCGAGCCGTCTCCCTTGAAAGCTCCTGCTAGTGTCAGTAAAACTGCAATTGACTACCTTGATAGACCAAGAACTGACTTTGCCGCCACAGACCCCCAGCCGCGCTGACCCTATGTCTTTCTCCAACATTCTCTCGAGTGCCGAACCCGTTTCAAAACCAAAGTCGAAATCACCGCCACCCGTCGAAGAGAAAGAAAAGGAAAGGGAAAATGAAAAGGAAAAGGAAAAAGAGAAGGCTGTTGAGCCCAAGACCGACCGTGAGAAGCCCCGCTCTGTCGACCCTCCAGTCAAGACCGAGCGCACCGAGCGCAGCGAGCGCGAAGCCGAGATTGAACTCCGACCGGAGCCCGTCAAGGAGAGATCCAGCACTCCCCTGGCCCGTAAGGAGAGAAAAGAGCGAGTACCTAGAAAGTCAAAGTCGAGAGCTTCCGATATCAGAGATGCCGAATCGACTCCCAAGAGCAGCCGCCGTGCTTCGTCCAAACTCGAGACACCAACGCCTCGCATCCCCTCCAAGCGCCTGGCCAATGGCCAGCCGAAGCAAAAAACCCTGCCTGCCGATAAAGAAAAGAAGGTTACGGATCTGATTGCTCAGCTCGATGCCGATGCCGACGAACTTACCGACTCCGAACTCACAGCTGATCGTGCCCAGTACCAAGAAAGCGGCAACAAGCGACGTCGCCTCTTGCAAGATAAGGATAGCAAGCGCAATGTCGAGCGACGCGACGAGTTCTCGAGAGAGATGGGCCGCAGATTGGGCACTCACGCCGATCTCGGCAAACGCCGCTACGACGACATCTACTACGAGGAGGCCATGAACGAGGTCCGAGAACGTGAGCTCTTTGCCGAAAAGGAGCGCAAGAAGGACATGCAGCGCAAGCGTCGTCGTGAAAAGTCCATGGCTGTCACCATGGAACAACAGAAGCTTGCGCTGGAGCGCGCACGATTGGCCGAAGATGAGACCGAAAAGGCGAAGCACCTGCGGGATGCCGAGCGTGCTAACAAAAAGGCTCTGCAAACGAAGTTGATTCTCCAGAAGGGCATCAAGGGCCCCGCTCGCAACCTCGCCGAGCTCAACCTGGACGGAGGCACCATGGCCACCTACCAAGCGTCTGACATGGAACCCGGCACGAAGCCCAAGGGCAAGGGTCGCAGCGGTCCTCGGCCCAAGAAGTCGAAGGAGCAGAAGCAGGCCGAGAAGGACGCTGCAGAGGCTGCGCAAGCCGCCATCGACGCTGGCGAGGAGCTCCCGATCAAGGAAGAGGGCAAGATCCGCATCAAGTTCAACAAGAAGTCCAAAGACAAGGACAAAGAGAAGAACAAGGACAAGGATGTGGATCAGGACGAGCCCGACGTCGAGGTCGAAGGCGAAGGCGACGTCGACATTGACGAGGATACCATCGTCGAGCCCGTCAAGGAGAAGAAGGAGCGCAAGAGCAAGAAAGAAAAGAAGGAGAAGAAGGAGGAGAAGCCCGAGGAGCCTCCCAACAAGGACGCCAAGTTCGAGACCAAGGGTTTCCTCCAAATTTACGACCAGATTTGGCGCGATCTCGCCCGCAAGGATGTCTCAAAGACCTACAAGATGGCGGCCGAGTCCTACCAGACCAAGGCCTCCAACCTTAAGAAGACGGCCATCCTCGCATCTAAAGAGGCCAAGAGGTGGCAGCTGCGGACGAACAAGGGCACCAAGGATCAGCAGGCCCGTGCCAAGCGTGTTATGCGTGACATGATGGGCTTCTGGAAGCGCAACGAGCGTGAGGAGCGTGATCTCAGAAAGGCTGCCGAGAAGCAGGAGATTGAGAACGCCCGCAAGGAAGAAGCCGAGCGCGAAGCTGCCCGCCAGAAGAGAAAGCTCAACTTCCTTATCTCGCAGACTGAGCTGTACTCCCATTTCATCGGCAAGAAGATCAAGACGGATGAGGTCGAACGCAGTACCGATAACCCCGAGATTGCAGCCGAGAACAAGGACGAGACTGCCCACAACAAGCATCTCGATATCGCTGAACCGACAGGACCTTTGGGCGCCAAGGTCACTGACTTTGAGAATCTCACCTTTGAGGAGGAAGACGAGGAGAACCTGCGCCAAGCCGCCATGGCCAATGCTCAGAATGCCATCGCCGAGGCACAGAGAAAGGCCAGAGCTTTCAACGAGCCCGAGGGCCCCGATATGGACGAGGAGGGCGAGATGAACTTCCAGAACCCTGCCGGCATGGGCGACGTTGCCATCGAGCAGCCCAAGCTCATCAACGCGCAGCTCAAGGAGTACCAGCTCAAGGGTCTCAACTGGCTCGCTAACCTGTACGAGCAAGGTATCAACGGCATTCTCGCCGACGAGATGGGTCTTGGAAAGACTGTTCAGTCGATTTCCGTCATGGCCTACCTCGCTGAGAAGTACGATATCTGGGGTCCGTTCCTCGTCGTCGCGCCCGCGTCTACGCTTCACAACTGGGAACAGGAAATCCGAAAGTTCGTCCCCGAGTTCAAGATCCTTCCCTACTGGGGTTCTGCTGGTGACCGAAAGGTCTTGCGAAAGTTCTGGGACCGCAAGCACACCACCTACAAGAAGGATGCATCGTTCCACGTCTGTGTCACGTCGTACCAGCTCGTCGTCTCTGATGTCGCCTACTTCCAGAAGATGAAGTGGCAGTACATGATTCTCGACGAGGCGCAGGCCATCAAGAGCTCGCAGAGTTCCAGATGGAAGAGCTTGCTCAACTTCCACTGCCGTAACCGTCTCTTGCTCACGGGTACCCCCATCCAGAACAACATGCAGGAACTGTGGGCCTTGCTCCATTTCATCATGCCGTCGCTCTTCGATTCTCACGACGAGTTCAGCGAGTGGTTCTCCAAGGATATTGAGTCACACGCACAGAGTAACACGAAGCTCAACGAAGATCAGCTCAAACGTCTGCACATGATTCTGAAGCCGTTCATGTTGCGTCGTGTCAAGAAGCATGTCCAGAAGGAGCTTGGAGACAAGATCGAGGAGGATGTCTACTGCGATCTCACCTACAGACAGCGCGCCATTTACAGCAACCTGCGGAACCAGATCAGTATCATGGATCTCATTGAGAAGGCTACGACGGGTGATAATGACGACTCTGGAACTCTCATGAACCTCGTCATGCAATTCCGAAAGGTTTGCAACCATCCCGACCTGTTCGAGAGAGCCGACACGACCTCTCCTTTCTCGTTCGGCTACTTCGCGGAGACGGCTTCCTTTGTCAGAGAGGGCAACAACGTCGCCGTCGGCTACTCTACTCGAAACTTGATTGAGTACGAGCTGCCTCGTCTCCTTTGGAGACAAGATGGCAGGCTCTACAAGGCCGACCGCGGCAACCTGAAGGCTGGCTGGCGCAATAAGAATCTGCAGCACATGATGAACATCTTCACTCCAGAGCACATCCGCGACAGTCTCGAGGGATCCGACGCGTTTTCCTTTCTGCGTTTCGCTGATACCAGCCCGACCGAGGTCTATAAGGCTAGCCACGAGGACGTCTTCTCTCGTGCCGTCGAGTTGTCTCAGAAGAAGGATCGCTTGCCCCTCATGAAGATTGCCTACGACGACGCCGAAGACGCCAACTTCACCCCTGCTCATGCCTTGTTCAAGATCGCCGCCCGCAACAACAGACAACCCCTTGCAGACATCACTCAAGAGGGCATCATGGCTAACCTCATGAACGTGGCCCGAGAGGAGTATGTCGACAGCGGCTTGGGACGCTTGGAGCAGGCCGGTCGCCCGCGCGCCTCTGCTCCACCCATTGAGGTGAGCTGCTGTAGCAGTGGAACCGGTCTGGAGACGGAAAGTATCCTGTTCAACAGATCCATGCGCAAGAGTTTGTTTGGCCCCACGATCCAGGAAGAACGGGCCATGATTACTGAGAAGCTTCCCTTTGACCGATTCCCGCCCCGCAAGTTGCTCCCTGCGCCGGATAACGACAAGAAGAAATTCAACAACATTGCGACTCCGTCAATGCGCCGTTTTGTTACTGACAGCGGCAAACTGGCCACTCTCGACAAGCTGTTGACCAAGCTCAAGGCCGAGGGTCATCGTGTGCTGCTCTACTTCCAGATGACACGCATGATCGATCTCATGGAGGAGTACCTTACGTACCGCAATTACAAGTATTGCCGTCTCGATGGTTCGACCAAGCTCGAAGACAGAAGAGATACTGTCGCCGACTTCCAGACTCGTCCCGAGATCTTCATCTTCCTTCTGTCGACCCGTGCTGGTGGTCTCGGTATCAATCTTACCTCTGCTGACACCGTCATCTTCTACGACTCCGACTGGAACCCTACGATCGATTCGCAGGCCATGGACAGAGCTCACAGACTGGGTCAGACTCGACAGGTTACCGTGTACCGTCTCATCACTAAGGGAACGATTGAGGAGCGTATCCGGAAGCGTGCCATGCAAAAGGAAGAGGTGCAGCGCGTCGTCATCCAGGGAGGTGGTGCCAGTGTTGACTTCTCTGGTCGCCGCGCTCCCGAGAACCGCAACCGCGATATTGCCATGTGGCTTGCCGACGATGAGCAGGCGGAGATGATTGAGCAGCGTGAGAAGGAGATGCTTCAGGCCGGCGAATTCGACAAGCCCGAGAAGAAGAAGAAGACGACGAAGCGCAAGCGGGTGGTCAATGAGGACGTCAGCCTGGACGAGATGTACCACGAGGGTAAGTTGTTTGCTGTCCATGCTACCCACGGACATACTAACATGTTCACAGGCGAGGGCAACTTTGATGACAACCGCAATGGAGCCAACGGAACCTCGGGTACCGCCACGCCTGTAGCCGAGCCCGAAGTGAAGGGGACCAAGAAGCAACGCAGAGGCGGTGGCAAGAAGGCCAAGACACTGAAACAGAGACTTGCCCTTGCCGACGGACAAGTCTAGTTGTCGTCGACAGGCCGTCTGATTCGAATAGAAGACGACGATAGATAACGAGAGGTCACTCGTTGCGCACAGATGAGCGGAAAACGGAGGTTTCGATTGTAGCAATATGGTTTATGGGTAGGACACGCTGGGCGCGCGTGAGATATGCCTGGCGTCGGAGTGGACAACGCGATTTGCATCAAGATGACGGTCGTGGCTATTATTATGGACGAATGCCGCGATTCGTTTGTTAGACTTTACAAAAAAGCTTCAGTATGTTTGTATTCTTTCCATTTTCCGCGAGGTTAGGATGGTTTTTGGGGTCTGGTAGTCGACTCTAGACGATCTTGGTCTCACATGGGGGGTTCCTGATCACGGCAGTCAATCCCTGGAGACACAAGGTGGATGGCGGTATTCAGATTGAGTTGTACGAGGCCTAGGGTCGTTGGAGCTCGATGGTGCGTGTATTAGTACTACCTCTAGACGAATGAAGTCGATTCCGAGATGAATCTCGTATAATGATGCTTGTGATGGTGATGTTTAGGCCTTGGTGATGGCCCACGGCTCTGCGGTTAGCATGTGTCACTCGACACACCTGATAGATGCGTCCATTTTATTTGAACGAATATCACATTTCCTAACACAAGAACATTGGATGATGTAAAGTTCTCGTGACCACGACGCTAATCAGGCTGACGAAGTCAAGTTATCCGGATGATTGTACCGAAATTTTACAGAGATTGAAAATTAATTGAACTGTATTCCGCGAAGGGTATCTAAGAATTGAACGATGACCAGCCGAACGGGGTCCCAAATGGGAGTTCCGTAGCACTACCTCCACCCAAGTCGCAAGGCCATCACTTACGACCATGATCCTGATCTTTGTAGTCATAACAACTTCAACTCAGGAGCACCGCTCCTAAGCTTCCCACCATCAAGCATTTAGCACTTGGCACCGGAGCCGGAAGGGATGCCAGAGCACTCAGAAGAGGACTTGCCACCGGTAACGGAGACGCCAGACCACTTCCAGTTGGAGCAGGCACCCTTGGCGCAAAGGATGTACACGTTGGTGCCCTTCGCGGCGACGGTACCCTTAACGTTCTTGACGGTGACGTCGGTGATGGGAATACCAGCGGTGGGCTTGCCGGTAGGGCTGCCGTTCTCGTAATCCTGCTGGATGACAATGCCCTTCTTGTTGATGTTCTTGAGGGTGATGTTCTCGAAGGTGATACCGTTGACCTTGCCAGTCTTGTTGGCAATGGTCTTGATGCGGATACCGTTGTCGGCCTTCTCGATGGTGGAGTCACGGATGATGACGTTCTGGACGGTGTTGTCGCTACGTCCACCAACGGAACCGATGGACAGGCCGTGGGAGCCGTAGCAGTATCCGTTCTCGAAAGTGATACCGGTGCCAGAGTTGATAGCCAGGCAGTCGTCCTGGTTGTAGACCTTGGCGCCGGAGATGGTCACGTCAGAAGACGTACCGACATCGAAGGCATCGGTGTTGTGGCCACCCTTGGAGTCACCATCCTTGTTGTCGAAAAGGATGTTGGAGCTAGAGAATAGTCGGGTCAGTATTACTGTCCAAATACCCAACATTGAGTTGTGACTTACACCTTGAGGCCAGAAACGCCGCTGATGGAGAATCCGTGGGCCGGGGTGTTCTTGACGTTCAGGCCAGAGATGGAACCGTCGTTGATCTTGACCTTGAAGAACTTGGGCTTCTTCTTGCCGCCGTTACCTCCCTTGCCGTCCCACCAGCGCTCACCCTGGCAGGAGATGGAGTTGCCGGAAGCACCGACAACGCTGACCTTCTTACCGCCGATGGCGATGAGGGGACCCTCCCACTCCTTGTAGCCGAAGGTGGTGGTGCCCTTGAAGGTGACCTTGGTTCCGTCCTTGAGGCCAGTGAGGTCGAGGGTCTCGCCGGCGGGGACCTGGATGCCATTGAGGACGATGTCGGTGCAGGAGGTCTTCTTGGACATGGCTGTCTTGGCGTCGGTGAAGGTGCACGAGGCACGGGTATCGAGCTCGGCGGGGGCGGCGGCAGCCAGGGCGCTGAGGCCCGCGACAACGGAGAGGAACTTCATCGTTTCTTGATTTTTTTTGGTATGTGATCAACACGTGGGATACTTCGAGTATGTACAGAAATTGTCGAATGAGAGACTAGAGTTGGAAAAAAAGAATGTGGTTGAAAAGAGTGTGAGTGAAGAAGCACGATGGGGTATCAAGAACGGAAGCAAAAGAGGTGGGCAGAAAAGATGATACTTATATCAAATTGTCGAACATGCAAGACTCTAGGCCTCCTCCTCCCCTTTCATTTGATGCTACTTGTTGGAAGCTCGTTGGATTTCCGCAACTGGGTATGGTGCGGCTCCCACGCCGGATAGTCGGCATCACCGTTGTCTATCTCCCCGGTCTCTGGAAGGAGCTAAGAGGAGCCCATGATTTCAAAACCACCTTTAATCTGACCCTGCAGCGCCGGAGTGTTGCCCCGAAGGACCGAAAAGAGGAGGCGACTCTCCACACTGGCTTAAATTATCTAAGCTTCAAATGCTGCAAGCCCGCCGCACGAAGCTAGCACGTGGGGAGCAGAATATTAGAAGAGGTGCTCGCCCACTATCCGATGACCCAGGTCTGACGATGGGATCATACCCGGTCGTTGTGGACTTGGGACGAACAGGGCTGACGGGAACCTACGCCCCAAGCCGGTGTCAGCCGCCCTACCAGCGGAATACCGAGACATGATCATAGAACACCTTCCAAGACTTCCAGACCATCTGGGCGAGTCGATTCAACCACTTCTGACGCGTGGCGGCAATGAAGAAACTGCCTCTTCAGGTAGGATTTCCAATCTCAATGGCATCTTGGCTTCATCTTGGCATAGGCTTGATTTGCCGATCGATCCGATCATGGAACTCTTGGGATCCAGGAAGACCCAGAAAATCACGGTATTTTACCCACCAGTCGCTGCGGCTGACCCAGTGTTTCCCTGTGTGCCTGTGTAAAAGTTGTTTGAAAGGGGAAGTTCCCACAGAAAAGAAATGCCAAGAACGGAGGTGAGGTAAGGATTCTGCAGGAATGTGATAAGGCGTTGTGCATCTTCCAACTTGCTCTATAATGGCATGTTTCTACTCAGCCAACGACACTGGTCGTTGCAGGAACAACTCCTGTTCAAAGTGAACTCCCGACTCTCATGACGTGAGGCTTATTCCGCGGTCGTCTCGTTAAGAATTTGTATGACGAACGAGCATTGGAGAGCCCGGGCTTTACCTAAAGTGGTGTGATTAACCTTAAAGCCCTGATTGCAATCCAAGCATCCGACGACCGACGAGCCGCTTGCCTTGTGGGGACAGAGCCTCTCCTTTCGGCGGATACGGACTTGCGCGTATACTTTCCCTGTCAGCCGACGGGAAGCTGTAAGGGGCGAGCAGGCCTCCTATTCTCGGCTCCGAATTAGGCTCACTTGAAGACGGGCAAGTTATCAGTGACAGGTTTAGACGAATGAACTTGGGTGAACTTCGGGCTTGATCCGACGGTGGACATTTCCGTCATCTACTTGGACCAGGGGGCCCCTTGGGCCCTTTTCAATCGGGTTCCGAACTTTGCGACTCACCTGCTTTTAGCGTCGGATTCTGCTGATTCATAGTGGGCTAATGGATTGGATCTAACCGACTCGAGTAGTTTTTGCCAACTCACGGTGCAATTTCGAACGGCAGCAAAAACCGACTTGGTAGTGGTTCATGCAGCATCATTCAAACTTAGACACTTTAGCCACCGGATTCTGGCCATGGAGATTCAACATACATGAAACTGCCGGTCCTTGGAACACTTTATTTCTGTCTCCGCATTACGCTAGAAGGAAAAAGAAAATACGAAGTCTTGTTTGGTAAATGGTGGTGGATTTGGTCTTTTGTGAGCTGTCTCTTTTCTGCTCGGCCAGTTGCGGATATCCCCCTACAAATGACTCCGGAGTTCGTCTTCGGTCCATTTCCATAACTCCTCCCTTTTGTCCTTGTCCTTGCTCAATCTCGTACCTTTACCGGTGACACCAACTGGGAAGTAGAAGGTGCCGCTCTTGACTTCTGGACTGAAGGATGCCCAGAGCTGGTTGAGCGCGCCCTTCTGGGGACTGACGGCTACGATCTTAGTGCCGAGATACACAATCGTGCCTAAGACGAAGTTGGATTTGCTGATGATGGATTGTGCCAGATTTGTGTCGACGATACCCGGGTGCACGCTGACAATTTTGAGCTCCGGATGCCGCTCGGCGAGGGCGGCGGCGTAGTGTATGTTCGCCACCTTTGAAATGCCGTAACGAAAGCGGCTGGGGGTTTCGGGCATCTGGGTCTTGAGCTTGTCGAACTGGTAAATATCTTTGGGCGCCCAGCCTTCCGCGCCCGAGGAGAGGAACACGACCCTCACGTCGGGATTCTCGGTCGCCGTCTTCTTCAAGGTAGGTATCAGGAGTTGCGTGAAAAGTGCATGACCCATGTGGTTTGTACCAAATTGGATCTCGTAACCCTCCTTTGTGAGGCCCTCTGGCGTCGCCATGATTCCAGCATTATTGACGAGAAGGTCCAGCCGAGAAGAAGACTCATTGAACTGTCTAGCGGCGGCTTTGATGCTTTCAAATGAGGACAATTCAAGCGGCAGGTGAGAAATTGGCGCGATGCTGGAGCCTTCTTTTCTCAGTGCTTCGATTGCGGCCTCGCCCTTTTCCTTTGAGCGTCCTGCGAGATAGATATGCCTAGGGTTGTGCTTTGCAATCTGTCGGATCGTCTCCAGTCCGAGGCCGGCATTTCCACCGGTGACGAGAACGACCTTTCCTGTCAAGTCTGGGATATCAGAGTCCGGCTTGAAGTTGTAGCCGCCCATCAAAAACGCTGTCGCCATCTTCAAGTCTGTGTACTTTAATGCCTACGTCGTTTGATGTTTGAATCTGTCTATTGTTGATCGTGATTGCACAAACGACGAGAAAGCTTCGCGGCGCGCAAGAGCGTAACTTATTATATACTATG